CAACACCTCTGGCAGAGGGGCGGCCGGCCGCACTTGAAGGAAGGGCGCGTAGAACGTGCACAAGAATCTGTTGCGGGTTCATCATCAGGCCGCCCAGGTTTGGGCCCGAGCCTACATCCGCAAAGTTGCGAGCGGAATGGAGAGCGGCCGCTTCTGCCAATCGTCCGTTTGGCGATTCAGAGAACGAAAGGCAAGATTCTGGACGAACTTCCCGCGCGTGACGACGTGGATGCGCTAGTGGAAAAGGAGACGAACGAGGTTTGCAGGGGGGCTTTGCTTCAACAACTCGACGCCAACCCAAAGTCTGAGGCAGATGAAAGCGAAAGGGGGAACGCTCTATTGACCCGCGGGAAAGCAGGTCAGGGGCTGAATCGGCCAGATGAAAACAATCGAAAGGATACACGGGCGCCCGAAGTGACATCAACGGGGAGCCCGGGGATGTGCGGGTTTGCGAACGAGGTCACGGTACTTCAAATGTCCAGGGGGAGCGAGATATGTGAGGGGGCCGTGAGTACCCGTTTGAGCGCGAAAAGAAGGGAGGCCCGCGAGCCTGCGCCAAAGGAGATTCAGTTTTCGAAGGCCTCTATGAGCGGCCTAATCCAGGTTTCTACGGAGCCAACTACAGGGGTTGCGTGCAAGAACGACATTGCCCCGCAGGATGCTCAAGCAACAATGGACGAGCACGGAGGCGCGGACGACCCGTCCGTGCAAGCGCGTGGCGCGCTCCCCCAGATGGGCGACCAGCAATATGCCCGCGAGCTGCCCAGGTGCTGATCGTGAAGCCGCGGACGAGCCAGATCGTGTCGAGCGGCTATGGCGGCTGCGTTCTGAGTGTTGCTGAAGCTGCGGAGCGGGGATTTAAGGGCGAGCTGAAGGAGTTGAACGCCGTCTTCTCGTCGGCTGAACTGCAATCCGGGTTGTTGGCAAACAATGCGGGCCGTGACTTTGCTGCGTGGGGTGCAGGAGGTGAAGTGCTCCCCGCATCCGGAGCGGACGAGATGGCGACTTCGGGCTGGACCGCGAACCGGATTTGGGAC